GTAATATCAAATTGCCACATTGAATATTTAAATGACTCAATATTCAGATACAATTAATTCATTTAAGAATGTGTAAATATAGAATTTGTATCTGATTCTACCACAAATACAAATATTATTTTATAGAAATAAAATAATACTCTATAGTTAACAAGTTATTGATCACCTTAATCATATTATATAATTAATTAATAAATAAGCTAATAATAATTATATAAATTACATGTTTTGTTTGGTTTGGTATAGAAGGAAAGTAAATATCTTTAGCTAAGATTTTGCAAATCATGTTGGAGTCATACACCAATACAAATATTATTTGATTCCAATAAAATTATGCTATGTAGTTTATTGATCACCTTAATCATATTATATAATTACTTAATAAATTATCTAGTAATAAATAAATTAGATATTTTGTTTTTTTTTTTTGGTCCAGAATGAGAATTTGCAAGTCATGTTGTAGCCATAAGAATTAAGTGATTACCGAATCAGTTGATTTATTGTTGGCAGAAGAGAGGAACAAACAAAAAGGACCCAGCAGTGTTTTCTTCCACTTCTTCTTCTACTTCTCCGTGTAATTTGAATAAAATGTGTTGGTTAGGTGCGGATGGATTTATGGTATTTGAACGTAAGGTCAATTTGAAAAATATTTTGTTAACAAACTAATAAGCGGCTACCTAGAGGCCGCTGCTGCCATAAATTTCGGTTCGTCCTAAAAGGATAATCCGAAGCCACGGTCCTGTCGAAACCATAAATTCCGGACCCCCCCGAAATTTACGAGCGCAAAGCCATTAACATATTTTTCATGTGGAATAAATATCAGACTGTATATAGTAAACTGGGGGGGTGAGTAAAAGGGCAACGGAAAAACAAATAAATAAAGTTCCGTGTGTGTTTGAATAACGGAAAAAATAAAAAAAAAAACTGGAAAGAAAAAAAAATACTGCAGGATGATGATGAATTGCGGAATTTGAAGAGTGGATGTACCTTCTTCGATCAGTCGCGTGTGCTTCGATCATGACATCTTCATCATCCTGAAAGAGCTGGAAAAGAAACCACCTGGTGATGCTATTGTTACGAAGATTTCGCGCTGCGAATCTTGTTGGTCCATTCTTCGCGTCCGGCGATGCGTGGCCGCGTTTTTCGGCTCCGATTTCGGCTCGACGTATCGGATTTCCGATGAATTCACCGAAAATGGCACACAGAGCTTTTTTTAAGTCGTTTAAAATTATCTCGCAATTATTTTTGTTACGGATGAAACATAACATCTCTCGGGTCACGTTACCACTTTTTTAAAAACGTATTTATGTAACAAGAACGCTTCTGTCTCTCAACCTAAAATTTATTCATTTTGAAAGCTTTTACATTACTTAAACGACAGCTTCAATTTAAATCATTTCAAAATATTTTTATTTTGTTTTGAACAATAAAAATAGTTAATTGTTCAATTTATATTTTTTTTAATTAAAATTTCATGTGAAATTAATCTATAAATTATAATTGAAATTTTACGTTTATAAAGGGTGTCACAAAATTAACGCAAAAATCACAATCTGAAGACTAAAAACTGTGTTTTCTGTTTAATTCAATTTAATATAATCTAAATTTAAAGTTATAATTAAGTAACATATAAATTCTTTTTTTCTAGTGATTATTTTGTAAGAAAAATAAACTGGTTTAACATTGAATAAATAATCTTGAAAAAAAATATTGCTGTTAATTCTTTGCGCTTTAAAGCATACTGACTTTCACTTAAGAAAATAATCTTCAAGAATCTAGATCATCTTATACCCCAGTTATTCTAATTATACACATTTTTAATACTTTAATAATTTATTAATCCATAGATTATCAAAAATCAAACAAAAAACTATATTACATATAATTCTATATCAAATATTCTAATAATGTTCACTGATATTCTACGGTTTACCATCAATTATTGTTAAACAATAAAATAAAGTTATAAGAAAAATAACATAAACCTATGGGAAAAACACAGTTAAAACAATAAATCTACACAAGTAGATGATTTATAATTTTCTAAAATGTCCAGGGAAGAGGAATTACTTTGATTAGTAGTCAAGGAATAAATTTTGATACCGTCCGTTGTTGATTGATTAACGAAGTTGTCTGATTCAGTTGTCTCAAAATTTGTTGGATCTAGAAATTTAGGAATTTCTGGAGTTAAGTTAGCAATTTTCTAGTAGGTCAAGAGATCATATTACTATCTTTAATACAAAATATAGTTTGATTGGATTTGTTGATTTCTATTTATTTTAAGAATCTTAAGGTTATTAATTTTGTAGTACATCTCAAAAATTGTAAAATCTATAGTTCCGAGGCCAGTAATTCTCTAGTAGGTCAAGAGATCATATATATAGCAACTAAAAACGTGGATGCATCTCTTCGATTATCAGATAGTAAATTATTAAATGAAGCGCAGACGAAATGATTTGTGAAAATTGACGGGATCCCTAATATTTTACGTCCGCGAAGGAGCAGAGAGGTAGGCGATGTGGAAAGAGGAGTAGACGGAGGTTTATATTAAATATATATAGTTGAGGTTAATTCGTATACGAAGCTTATTTATTTGATCAATACCGGGGCCGCCCGTGGAGCACCAGAGTTGAGCGCCAGACTCGCCGTCTGCCCTCGCCCTAATCAATATACAAAAAAAAATATGTGTATATATATACACACACTCACACACACAGACACACTTCTGGCCTGTGAGAAAGAGAGTGAGCATAATCTACCTGTGATCCAGACCACATAAATCCTCGAACGTACGCACAGACACACACACACACATACACACGCATTTGTTTGCGTTCGATTCACCGCTCGATAATAAACATGTCCACACTTTTAGACCTCCTACCAGAAACAAATATTGTTCTTCAACCGCGTTTTAATTGGGATGACTTGCTAGAAAGAAAAAAAAAAAGAAGGAAAAAGCGAAAGTTTCGGTGATGGTTAATGGATCTGCCAAGTGAAGAAGTCAACTATGATGATTATGATGATGTAAGTGTGTCAATATAACAAAATGCATTACCATCAGACACTACCTTTGTTTACTCTTCATTAATACTTCTTTACTACCCTTAATATTTACAATCAAAATTTTTCAATGCGACATTTTTAGTTTACCAATTTTTATACCTTGTAGAGAAATGTACTTACAATCTGTTTTTTTCTAAAGAAAATCATATAAATCTAGGGTTTTTTAGGTCTTATAGTCCGAATGAGAATCTTATCTTATCAAAAGAGAAATATAATGTTTATTGAATTAAATTTTACATCTAATTTCGTAAGCGTTTGCAATGGATATGTAATCTTCTCAAAGTCCATCTATAATTGTGATATTCACAAAAATTGTATACTCACTGAAATACTATACATCTTATAAACTAATGAAACTAATTGTTATAATTTTTTTCATTAATAATTTCATATTATAACAAATAATAAACAATTAGTTTTTTTAACCATTTTCAAATGGGATGACTTGCTAGAAAGAAAAAAAAAAGAAGGAAAAAGCGAAAGTTTCGGTGATGGTTAATGGATCTGCCAAGTGAAGAAGTCAACTATGATGATTATGATGATGTAAGTGTGTCAATATAACAAAATGCATTACCATCAGACACTACCTTTGTTTACTCTTCATTAATACTTCTTTACTACCCTTAATATTTACAATCAAAATTTTTCAATGCGACATTTTTAGTTTACCAATTTTTGTACCTTGTAGAGAAATGTACTTACAATCTGTTTTTTTCTAAAGAAACTCTTATAAATCTAGGGTTTTTTAGGTCTTATAGTCCGAATGAGAATCTTATCTTATCAAAAAAGAAATATAATGTTTATTGAATTAAATTTTACATCTAATTTCGTAAGCGTTTGCAATGGATATGTAATCTTCTCAAAGTCCATCTATAATTGTGATATTCACAAAAATTGTATACTCACTGAAATACTATACATCTTATAAACTAATGAAACTAATTGTTATAATTTTTTACATTAATAATTTCATATTATAACAAATAATAAACAATTAGTTTTTTTAACCATTTTCAAATTATATATTTTTATTTCAAAAAACACTCATTTGTTAAGCACTCATTAGTGGAAACTTGTCGTCCTTAATTGGATTCGTAGAACTAATTACTAAATGCATCGTATAAAAAAAAACAAGTATTTGTTCTGACTATATATTTTTTTTAATAAACGTATTCATCAGTCTGTTATTTTTCTGCATTCTTCGTTGTTGTTAATAATACGGACTGGTTACGTTCCAATATTTATTTAATGAAAAAAAAGGAGTATGTTTAGAGTATATAGCGCGTATTAAAAAGTACTGAGGTAACAATGTCTAATTACCGGCTAATTAGTCGTTATCGGCTGATATGCTCTACTGAGATCCCGTCGAGCCGACGACCGTGAAAAATGTCTACTGATCTTCAATGGAGATTACATGGATTCCAAACAAAAATAAAATAATTATGAACTGAGATGGATATAGTCTGTGTCTGTACAATAGAAAGAGTTGATGCGTATGAATCCGAAATATTATTTACTATATTTCGGATTCATTGAGGTTGAAAGTTAGGTGTTAGGTACAATGCAAACTATAGAATGATAGAATGTCTTCTGATTTTTGCAGATGATTGCTTGTATACGAAATGAAAATATAACACTTATGAACTGAGATGGATGTATTACCATTTTGTTTAGGAGGAAAGGTTAAAGTACAAATTTAAGATGAAATTTAGTTAATGGGTGCAATGTGTGTACTGATTATAATGAATATTGGATGAATTCCATCGAAAGAATTAAATTCAGGTCTAAAATTGCTTTTGGATACAATAGAAACTATAGTTTGATTCAACAATGTTGTTTGTTTTTCGAACCAAGATACACAATTATTAACTGAGGATCTTAGTTAGAACATATTAAATATAGTGCGATTAACAGTTGCTATCTTCTTGTTTCAGTGGTGATGCATAAGGATAAAGAGGATGGTGGAGGGTTGCACCGTTCCCGAGACCTAACCGCTTTCGACCATACACCATTAGACGGAGAAATGTTCCTTCAGGTGAGAGCTTATACCAATGCACGTATAAAGTACATTGGTTAAAGTGCGAAATGTAAAGTATGAAATCAAAAAATTGTATCGTGTTACAGGCATTAAACGGGTTCCTAATGATTTTAACATGCGAGGGCGAAGTGTTTTTCGCCACGCACAGCATAGAAGGTTACTTGGGATTCCATCAGGTGTGTGTGCCCTTCTCGCTCAGTTTTCCGTATCGATTACAACGTTTTGTTCTGCTTCTGCTCATTCTAGTCGGATATCGTGCACCAGTCCGTCTATGAGCTGGTCCACTCCGAGGACCGGGAGGAACTCCAGAGGCAGCTCATGTGGAATTCATTCCTTCCGCCGGAATCCGCAAACATTGGACTCCAAGACGTGCTACTACCAGACAACTGCCACATGCTGGAACGTAGCTTCACCGTGCGCTTCCGATGTCTGCTAGACAATACTTCCGGCTTCCTTGTAAGACGCAAACACACAAAAATTAAAGTCACGATTATCTAATTCCGATTTTAATTTCGTAGCGTTTGGATATCAGAGGACGCGTGAAGGTTCTGCACGGGCAAAACCGAAAGTCCGATGAGCCACCGCTAGCCCTGTTCGCGATCTGCACCCCCTTCGGTCCGCCGTCTCTGCTCGAAATACCACAGAAGGAAGTCATGTTCAAGAGCAAACACAAACTTGATTTAGCTTTGGTTTCCATGGATCAGAGAGGTAAAATGTTGTTGGGGTACTCGGATTCTGAACTGGCCAATATGGGAGGATACGATTTAGTGCATTATGATGATCTTGCTTACGTGGCCAGCGCTCATCAAGAACGTAAGCTTTAACTTCAAATGCTGATTCAAGAAGCTAATATTTGTTAATTGCAGTACTTAAAACTGGAGCATCTGGTATGATAGCGTATAGGTTCCAAACTAAAGAAGGGCAATGGCAATGGCTACAAACTAGTTCTAGATTAGTATACAAAAACTCCAAACCAGATTTTGTTATTAGTACACATAGACCTTTAATGTAAGTAATTAATGTTTAAATAAAGATTTAAATTTACTATTGTGCGTTGTTGTTTGCAGGGAGGAGGAAGGTAGAGATTTATTAGGTAAACGGACAATGGACTTTAAAGTGAGCTATTTGGATGCGGGTCTACCGAATAGTTACTTCTCAGAATCGGATCAATTACTGGCGAATACTACAGTAGCTCAACACAACTTGCCTTCAGCTCCGTCCAGGGTAAACAGGCGTTACAAGACGCAATTGCGGGATTTCCTGTCCACATGTCGGACGAAACGCAAACTGTCGCACAGCAGTCCAACTGGACAGGTGACACCTCCGACGAACCCTTCGACGGTGGCCGCCTCCGTAGTCAGCCCTATGCCTACGGTGGACTACATCGGTGATAGTTACAACATGTATACGACTTATCCACCAGCAGCGCCTGACCACAGTCTGACTTCCTACATGAATCACACAAATTTCCAGCATAGCTTATACCCGGCTCCGGCCATCGACAACCGGTATCTTACCAGCACAGAGAACATATTCCATCAATACAGACCGTTGAGTACTTACTATCCAGAATACCATTCGCCAGCAGCCAGTCCATACGTTGGTAATGGGTTCCTAGAGATGCCCACCAGGTCCTACGACCCGACGACCACGACTTCCCACCACACCTACCGCATGGAGGACAAACTGTATCCATGCCAGCAGGAAACTCCAGCTAAATACCCGCCATACGTGGACACTTCCCGCAGCTACGTAGTGACCAACCCTACGAACTGGCCATACTCGGTGAGCCCATCATCAGGAATTATACAACCTGTGCAAGTCATGAGCACACAAATCGACCTCAAGAAAGCGAAGCCGTCGTCGCCGAACACTGGACTGCTCACTCCGAAGATGGAGGAGATGAAGGAAGGCATGATCGCAAGCCCAAATAACCACCAGCATTACTCTCCGACCACCACGGCCGAGATGCCACGTCAGACCGTTCTCATGTGGGGATCGAACCATCACCATCACCAATCGCCCACCAGGTCTCCGAACGACTATCCTACACCGGTTTCGGAGACCTGCGATGTTATCAATAACCAGGAAATGTGCAAGTGGAACGGCGAAGCGAAAGCCGAACCCGCTGCCGTCACTCAGACCAACGATGGTAGCCCTCACCAACAGCAGCACCACGCGAACCACCACAACCATCACAATTCTCGCGTCGTCATGGTTCTATGATGAACATTCTGCGCTGGCTTCCAGCACCTCCTTGTACATACTTATAAATACCTTAAAGAATTAATATATGGCACATATTTTAAAAGAAGAAAATCACATAAAAAATCTTCCTGCAGATTCGAAGTAATTTATTCGTTGGTGGTCTCATTTTATTATTTGTTTTTATAATTTTTAATTGACTCATTCATTTTCCATTTTGTAATCTTACGTCTATGTCTTCGAAAAAAAAAATGAAATAATCAAAATCAAAACATATGAGAGAATAAAAATTAATCCTAGCAGTAATAGTTCGTGAAGTGATGTAATATATTTAAAACAAAAATATTATTATATAGTTAGTATATATGAATATAAAGAAGGAAAAAAAAACATACAATGAAGGGAAATATTTGCTTTAAGTATATATATTTTTTGTTATTTATTTTTTAAAGCAGTGAAACAAACATATGCTAGTCATTAATGGAAATAAAGAAGGAAAAGAAGATACTTTGTATATGTTGTACATTTATTATTTATATACATATTATTATTATGATAATTCAAATTGCATTATTTTATTTTTATTTTGTTTGTGGTCTAATTAATCAGTTAGGTGATGAGAACGGAAACTCCAAGGATTTGTTTGGAGGTACGTTTCGTTGGTGAACTCGATGAATGCAAAATATCCTTTACTTTGTCATATTAGCACTATATGCTTCGAAGATTTCAGTTACTTCTCTCTTGGGTATTTGTTTTTTTAATCCCGTCCTATAAACGATCGGTACCTAATTTTTTTTTGTCTTAATTTTTAAGAAATATAATTAAAATTACATTAAATAAAAAATGAAAACATTTGTAAAATAAATTTAAGAAAAATTTAAACTAAATGAATTGTATTACTTATTAAGTACTATGTATGACAAATGTATAAAATAATAAAATTAAATATTCGATTTAATTATTTTAAAGTTTGGTTTGATATATGAGCACTGTAATAAACAACTTTTGTATTATATACGACTTTGTGTAAGGTATATTTCTTCATTTAATTTCCCTACAAAAATATAATACTCTTTGGAAATTAAATTTGAAGTGATCGAGAAGGTATAGTATTCATGAAATATTCTATTTAATTATTTTCATTTCATTTACGTAATACATTAACACCTTACATGTTTTGAACTTAGTACTTTTCTATTAGAAACTAATGACTTTTTACAAGTATTATTACTGACTCTAATGGAATAAAGTCCATTTGTTCAAAGTTTCGTAACAAGCTTAAATATAAATAATAATTTAAAAAAATAAAGAATAGGTTTGTGAAATTTAAAAATAAAATTGTTTTTGATTTAATAGTAACAATAATTAATAAAATTTTAAAATCAAAATAATTATTATGTTTGTGTTTACTTATATATCTCATAAGGTAAAACATATTGTTTTCTTTGTTTAGAAACAAATTTTAATAATTATATCTACTAATTAATAATCAATTATAATTGACAATTATAACAATTACAATTTGTCTATTCATTTATTTACATACCAATATTATACCATATAAACTTGCTCGAGAAACTAAGAGATCGATAATAATCACTAATAATTAATTAGTTAATACCAAAATGAGTAATGTTTTGCAAAAAAAAAACGGTTTCATTGGTCAAATTAAGATTTTAAAGAAATAAAATGCTATTACAATATTTATTTTATAATGATTATAACGAATTATTCCACAAAATTTGTAGTATTAAACTAATTGAGAAATTTGTCTAAATTGAATAATAACCTCAAGAAAATTAACCAGAAATATACGTTACAATCACTATAAAATAATCCTTTATTACATAACTACCCTCAAGTTAATATTAATCATAATTTCAAACAAATAATATTTAAAAGCTAGATCAATTTTGAATTTTACTGTTCTTGAAATATTGATTTTTGAAAATATAGGCAACCAACTGATCATTAATTTAATTATTTACAATATTATTTATTATATAATGTACATTAAATATAGCTTATTTTACTATATAAATATATCATTAATATATAATATAAAATAATATATAAATTTCTTAATTATTTAAATCTCTATAATTCCTTATTTCCGTAGTACACCTAGAGACTAATGTAATAATTGATAACTTTGCCACTTAGATAACAATTTATTGTGTAATATGTTATGTGCATAACTAATTCTCGTTTAGTATCTAATTATTTTTTTTTGAATTTCCCTCCCCACACATCGTTAATGTGTGGTATACTTTTTTGATCATATGATTTCGTGCGTTCATATGGCAGAACTGTTTCTGTCATATGACTTATTTAGGTTGTGTCCAGGTAGAAATTCAGTGAAAATGTTAAAGTTAGCACCGATATTTTGTGCCCTTCTGGTCTCCGGTAAGTATTTAACAACAATTATTATTCAATTCATTAATCTTTATATAAATTCATCAATAATTAAACATATTTCACCAATTACCAAAAATTTCACTGTTGACCCAACCCTTATAAGACTTGTGATTCTAAGTCTTAACATATTTTACCATTTACTAATGATGTCTGTTTATTATAATACTAGTATATGGAGCTGGAGAATTTAGTGTTTTAACACATCCCGGAAGCACCATCTTCAAGGGTCATGACCACATTAAGGAAAGCCTCCTTCCTGAGGTTTACTCTGCTGCTTTGGGTTTCACCACTGAACAGGTATAGTATATTAGTTTAATTGTTAACAATCTCAATTAATATTATGTAACTCTAATTAGAACTCCAACTGGCAAGGAATGTTCTTGAAGGATCCCTTCAACTTGGCAAAGGCTATTGTAACTGTAGCTGTTGATGGAGTCACTGAAATTGGTCAAACTGAAGGACATCACTTCCCAATGAAAACTGATGAAGGTGAAGAATTCTTATTTGAAACCATGTCCCGCAGGATTCAGGACAGACATCCTTCAACTCAAAGCCACTTGGTTCGCGTTGACCTCAGCCAAGGGTTAAAATCTGTAAGTTACTCAATATATCTTAAATATGGTTTAATTGACTGTTGTTTTATTTGCAGATCCTCGAAGTTGATGCATTCAAGGGCGTTAAGGACGTCGCTGTGGATAAAGAGATCAAATCAGCTTTGAAATTGTCTGTTGACGAGGATAGGACTTTCTTGGAAGAAATGGCTTTCTTCAACGCTTTGATTGAGAAGGTTAATTAATTGGATGTGTTTACAATGATGATTTTAATTGACCTATTTTCAGATTGAGAAGGGCAACATCAAGAAAACCAATCTTCCCGATGTGTTCTGGTTCAAAATATCCTCCTTGCACGCCATCTCTGATCTCCATGGAGAAAATTCTACTGAGACCAAAGAAGCCAAGGAAATCCTTGTCAATGCTATTGAAAGGATGAACGCTGCCTTCAACAAGTTCTATGATGGAAAGGTTTTGGTCAATGTCATCACCAGCGATACTAGCCACACCAGGAGGGTTCGTCGTGAAACCGAGGAGAAACCTGACGTAATACATCTTTATTTATCTTTTAACAATCATGTATAATAATAATTTATTTTCAGCAATTCAAGACGTTGAACCTGTCAAAAGATTATGACTCCAACTATCCCGTCATTTTCAATATTATTCTTTGGTTTGGGGTTATTATGGTTTTCACACTTCTTGCGATTTCTCTGTTTATCGGCAATATGGATCCTGGTCGTGATTCCATCATTTATAGAATGACCAACACCCGCATGAAGAAGGACAACTAAATCGAAATTTAGTTTCCTTTGCGTTTAAACACGTAACACAAATAAATACTGTCGTTTTAATCTATGTATGGATTGAATTCGTTCCGTCTTTCAGCTTAAAAGAAGAAAAAAATATTTTTTTTTTGTTTTAAGTGTTTGTATATTATTTCGCAGCGCACTTCATTCCATTAATTAGCTCTTAATAATTAAAAGTATTGATAAATGTATGTATATACGTAGTAGTCCAGTTAATTAGAAACGATGTAATAATGTAGGTCTAAATGTCGTCATGTGAGGATTGTGAACATAAAAATACAAATTGGATGTTGAAGAAAAGGACATATCTGGTCGCTTTATTTCCGTGTCTTATAAATCTGATAAAAGTACGTAATGAAATTGAACCTTAAATGTTAATGCATTTGGATTAGCGCTGTGTGCTTTTGGCTATTTGCTCCTTCAGGACGAGGATACTGTTCCTCTGCTCCGGTGGAAGCATTGCGATCTGCTCGTCGGATAACTGAAGGACTTGCATGATTAGAGCTGCCTTCTCCTGGTCCGAAGCACCGCTTGGACCTATATTTGGTGACATTCCAGGGTTCACCCTAGGAATTGATTGAGGCGCTGGCACAGGAACTGGCCTGTTTGGAGCCATAACTGGTGACGGGTTATTTGCAGGTGCTACAAAAAGATTATCACATTATTAAGTTGATTCACATAAAGTTCAAGTTACTTACGCAAATTTTTCTGTCGAGGATCACCGCGTGGTTGATTCCTTGTATCTTGGTATGGAGCTCTAGGATCTCTAGCAAAACTGAAACAAAATTAGACAATTGAAAACCATACACACGACATAGTAAACAATCAGTAATCATTAAATCCACTTAAATTAAGTACTTTGATCAATTGCTTAGTCTTGCAAACAATCAAAAGATTAGAATAGAAGTTATTTTATTACCTTTCTGCAACAGGAGGCGGTAATGGATTAGGCAAAGATCTCATGTCTTGATCCGTTGAAATGGGCCTCATTCTGGGATCTGAATTCCTTGGATCCATAGAACGCAAGTCAATATCTTGAGCTGAAAAAGTTCAAGTTATATAATTTTCAAATATAAAAACAAAGTTATGTAAAAGCTCAATAATCCTATTTGAATAGAATTCATACATTTTCTGGTTTTAAGAATTGTTACAGTATCAATTTTGAAATTTTAAATATAAATGAAGTATATAAATACATTGGAAGTTTGGTTGTGGAGTGGTGTGTCCAAACTCCTGTCTTTGGGGTGGGGCTGGTGTTGATGAAAAATTGTTGATTTGTACTGGAGTAACATTCTTTTCAGGAACTGTTAACATTGGAGGAGCTTGCGTTTGTGGATGCAACATATTCTACAAAAAAAAATTATTAACATATTGAAAAACAAGATATTGTAGATAATTACACAAGCCACTGCAGGATCAATTATCCTCATAACTACTTGTGCTTGCAGCAAAGCATAGCTCAATTGCGGATTTTGCAGCAACATATTCCTAGCTTCAGAAGGATTATTCTATAGAGAAAATATAATTATCAAAATGAACAAATAATATAGTCAAATATTACCTGTATACACATTTTCATTTGCTTCATCAACTCAAACATTTGCTCTGGAGGTAATGATGCAACTGCCTTGCTAATAGCCTCAGGAGCCTTCTCAGCCTGTATAGGCTCCCCATAAGGATTCTCAACTGGTGGTTGATTCATCAAATTCTGCATCTCCATCCTTGACTTCTCAGTACAAGCATTATCAACCCTCAAATTCCTTCCACCAATTTCATAACTATTCAAATTTCTCATAGCACTGAGTGCTGTCTCTTGGTCTCTGTATTCACAGAAGCCATACCCTTTAGGTTTACCAGTTTCCCGGTCAAAAACAAGCCTAAAACAAATACAACTTAGTAACATCTAAACTCAATAACATAGAACATCTTGTTTACTTGAATGAAAGAACTTGTCCAACCTCTCCAAAGATATCTTTCAGTTTCTCTTCGGTAGCTTCGTAAGGAATATTTCCAACTGGAATGAAGAAAATATTTGATTTTAGGTTATAAAATTTGGGGAGAAAACAAACCGAACACCGATCGCATGGACTTGTCCATGATATTTGCATCTAGACTGTCCATTGTTTTTGTTTGATCGCGCCAATCCAGTGTGAAAAATTTATTGATATTCAATTGTTTCAATATATGAGAATTACTTCAAATCAAAATACGTCGAAATCAGTTTATAAGGGATTTGTTAGTGAAATATAGGCAACCCCTAATTCACTGTTAACTTCAGTTTAAACTTAATCCCCTTTAATTTAATATTTGTTTTTATGTTAAATGTAAACTTTAGGTAAAATTTAATTTGTGTTTTGTTTTTGATAAAACATTTGTTTATTTGAAACACAATTAAAAAGTAAATTATATAAACGTACATAATTCTTCAAATATTTTTGGTAATAAATTTTGTTAAAGATTATTTTTAAATTAAATTATTGTTTGTTCAAATATTTGAGTATTTTGATCAAATTTAAAAAAAAGGTATTTTCTTCAATTATCTATCATTTAAGTTACGTTAAAAGTAAATGATGAAATATATTTGCTAATAAATGTTGGTAATAAATAATATCAAATTGCTTAATTATTGTTTCAAATATATATTACAATAAAGAAGATTTAATAAGTAAAGTTAATAATAATAGTTTCGTATGTTTTAATAATTTTGAATTGTATTTTAACAAGGTTATTGGAGATTATCATCAAAATGTTGAAGAGGTTATAGTGACTTTAATTATCTGGTATTGGTAATGGTAGCTGTCACGTGATTGATAATGGCTAACACTATTTCGCGATAGATTTCATCCTTTTTTCGGTATTTACGCAATTACCAATTGGCCGATAAACAGTGCGACGTCCGGGAAGTGACTCTGCGAAGGATTTCGTAAAGATTCGGAGGTGGTTGCAGGTCGATGGTCGGGAAGTTCAAATTTGGCGGGTAAGGAATAAGAATCGAGTGACGAAAAAACAAATGATGATTAATCAAAGGAATATGGCGTTTGCCACAGGTGTACGAATGGTGTGTTCGAAGTGCGTTTTTTCATAGACTCCAAGGATTTGAACTCGTCGGACACGTGCAATTAGGATTGTGCGATAGGATTGAACGAGGACGCTGGACTGTTGAAGCGAATCATTCGACATCAAAATGAGCGTGGACGCATATGGCCCGAGCTCTCAGACACTCACGTTTCTAGACACTGAGGAGGCTGATTTGATAGGCGCTGACACTCAGGGATCGGACTGCGAATTCACTGATTTCACCATCCCTTCACAGACACAGGCATCACAGATTGATCATGTTGGGCCCCAGTCATCAGGATTGCAGGTACTGTATATATACATGTGCATGTGTTAGTGTGTATATATATGTATGAGCATGTGTGTGAAAGTAATATGTATATATAGCCCGTACATCCTTCTTCAAATTTCAACTATGAATGCATACTTTAAAACAATTAAACTGTGTGTTTTCAGATGAAATACAACACTTGTTGATAGCTGCATCTAACTTCCAAACCCTTATCTTTTGTTTATTTCTCTATATATACATAGTGCTTAATTTGAAATTTAACACTAGTTTTGTTATGCTCTAACCTCTCAATATACCATGAGTATCATATAAAATAATATTAATTTCATCATAACAATTTAATATTAAATACTTAAGCTATATAGACACATGTACTTGAAAAGCAATGCCTACAATTACAAATATACACTCAATCCATAAGAGCTGAAAATATCACTTGTTGATAGTAGATCTGTTTTTTTTCTATTTGTAGTGTAACTATATATACATATTTTGCTTAATTTTAATCTACAGACTTGTATTGTTATGAAAATACTTGAAGAGAAAGACACTTGTTGATGGTTCATCTGCCTTACATCTTTTTACTGCTTAAAAACAAAAGTTTGGTATTAAATTATCTTAATATTCAACTATTCTGGGCAATAATACAAATAAAATTATTTATATTCTTAATATTGTCTCCAATTTCTTGGATTGATTGGCAAATATATACATTTTAATGTATAATATTATATTTTACTAGTTTAAATAATTAAGATTATTTTCAAAGATATTAATGGTATTTTTTTAAGAAGAATATAGTTCACTGTGTTGATATTTTGAATTGAAACAAATGTTACCAAGTAACTAATAATAAAATAATTATTAATATAAAAATAAATAAATGAATCTGTTTGATAGGTATATGTAACTGTCAAGCTCAAAATGAGTAACATCAAGTGATTATGATGTTTTAGGTCAATGGTATTTCTTGTAAAACATCTACAAGTATTGGAGCAAAGCTGGGATCAGTTACTGCAGCTTTGGGGGAGCTGCAATTTGAAGAGGAAGATGAAGAATTCTATAACAGCAAGGAGTTACCAGACTATGCATGCAAATACTGTGGAATACATGAGCCGAACTGCGTGGTTATGTGCAATTTGTGCAAGAAATGGTTTTGCAATGGTCGCGGAAACACCTCCGGCAGCCATATCATAAACCATTTGGTAAGTAAACATATTTTTTTTTTTGGAATCTCGTTAATCCCAATTGGTTTTAGGTGCGTGCCAAGCATAAAGAGGTTACTTTACACAAGGACGGCCCTCTTGGAGAAACGGTCTTGGAATGCTACAGCTGCGGTGTTAGGAATGTATTTGTCCTAGGCTTTATCCCAGCTAAGGCCGACTCCGTTGTCGTCCTTTTATGCAGACAACCATGCGCTGCCCAGAATTCATTAAAGGTATATTGAATTTTCTTTTGTGTTTTTGGTGCCAAATATTATAATTGTAATTGATGTTTTTTATAGGATATGAATTGGGAGCAGGAGCAGTGGAAGCCTTTGATTGCGGATCGCTGCTTCCTCACTTGGTTGGTTAAAATACCTTCTGAGCAGGAGCAGCTTCGTGCGCGCCAAATTACCGCGCAACAAATAAACAAATTGGAAGAGTTGTGGAAGGATAACGTAGACGCGACGTTCCAGGATTTGGAGAAACCTGGCGTAGATGAGGAACCGCAACAAGTCTTGCTACGGTACGAGGATGGGTACCAATATCAAAACATCTTTGGTCCCTTGGTTAAACTTGAAGCAGATTATGATAAACGTTTGAAGGAATCTCAGACGCAAGAGAATATCGATGTGCGTTGGGATGTTGGTCTGAACAAAAAGACCATTGCTTATTTCACATTGGCAAAAACTGATGGAGATATGAAATTGATGCACGGTGATGAGCTCCGTTTGCGGTATGTAGGAGAGATGCACAAGCCGTGGGCTGGCGTTGGCCACGTCATTAAAGTTCCTGACAACTACGGTGAAGATATCGGCATTGAGCTGAAGAATAGCCCTGGTGCTCCTACCCAATGCAGCAGCAATTTCGTTGTTGATTTCATTTGGAAAAGCACTAGTTTTGATAGGATGCAACTTGCCCTGCGTAAATTCGCTGTTGATGAATCTTCTGTTTCCGCTTACATCTACCATAGGCTCTTGGGCCATGAAGTTGAAGAAGTGTTGATGCGCTGCAAACTACCGAAGCACTTCTCCGCACCGAATTTACCAGATTTGAATAGGTCCCAAGTCTACGCAGTCAAGCACGCCTTGCAAAGACCTCTGTCTTTGATTCAAGGTCCACCTGGAACCGGAAAAACTGTAACTTCAGCTACTATCGTATATCAACTAGTAAAGCAGAACGGCGGTCCAGTATTGGTGTGTGCACCAAGTAACACTGCTGTCGATCAACTAACCGAAAAAATTCATAGAACGAATCTTAAGGTAAAATTATCGTAAATTAATAATTAGATCTTTATAAATTCATTTTTATTTTAGGTGGTTCGTTTGTGCGCTAAATCGCGCGAGGCCATTGATTCTCCAGTCAGTTTCTTGGCATTGCATAATCAAATCCGCAAAATGGAAATCCACAATGAATTACAGAAGCTGCAGCAATTGAAGGACGAGACCGGAGAATTGAGCTCTGTTGATGAGAAGCGTTATAGAGTCCTGAAGAAGTCCTCGGAAAAGGAACTTCTGGAGGCCGCTGACGTAATCTGCTGCACTTGCGTAGGCGCCGGAGATCCGCGCCTCACTCGTCTTAAGTTCCACTCCATTTTAATTGACGAGAGTATGCAAGCCACTGAACCGGAATGCATGGTACCAGTAGTTTTAGGCGTTAACCAGTTGATTCTTGTTGGTGATCATTGTCAACTGGGTCCAGTTGTAATGTGTAAGAAGGCGGCACGCGCTGGTCTTTCCCAAAGTTTGTTCGAACGCTTGGTGGTTTTGGGAATCAGACCTTTTAGATTGGAAGTGCAATATCGTATGCACCCCGAACTGTCACGATTCCCGTCCAATTTCTTCTACGAAGGAAGTCTGCAGAACGGAGTTTGTGCTGACGAGAGGAGACTGACTAAGGTTGAGTTCCCTTGGCCGATGCCGGATAGACCAATGTTCTTCCATGTTACCCAAGGCCAAGAGGAAATCGCTGGATCTGGAACGAGTTATTTGAATAGAACAGAAGCTGCTAACGTCGAGAAACTCGCTACCCGATTCTTGAGAGGTGGAGTAAAGCCCGAACAAATTGGAGTGATCACTCCATACGAAGGCCAAAGGGCTTATCTCGTGCAACATATGCAATACCAAGGATCTTTGCATAGTAAATTGTACCAAGAAATTGAGATTGCTAGTGTGGACGCTTTCCAAGGCAGAGAGAAGGATATTATAATTATGTCTTGCGTGCGTTCAAACGAACATCAGGGCATTGGATTTTTAAATGATCCCAGGCGACTTAACGTTGCTTTGACAAGAGCCAAGTATGGCATTATAATTGTTGGAAATCCGAAAGTTCTTTCCAAGCAACCGCTGTGGAATCACTTACTGACTTTCTACAAAGAACAAAAGGTGTTAGTCGAAGGTCCGCTGACCAACCTGAAAGAATCGATGATTCAATTCGCTAAACCAAAGAAATTAATTAATTTAGAAAATCCTGGATCCCACTTTATGACTACCTCCATGTTCGATGCCCGCGAGGCATTGGTACCGGGATCTGTTTACGATCGTACAAACGTAGCAATTAATGGAGGACAATACAACTACCCAAGAGGTTCTATACCTTTGGACATGTTCAGCAGGACGCACGATCCGATTTCATATATTTCGCCGGAAAGGGCACAAGCTGCAATGAATAATTTGCCCGTCCCAGTAGGGATGTTCATGAACATGGCTCACGTTCCGCCTAGGTTCTACAACCAACATCAACAAGCAATGCAGGCCAGGCAGACCCAAACCCAGTCCCAGTCTCATAGAGCTCGCAAACAACCAAATACTAGGCAGAAGAACAAGGCACTCTCTCAGGAACAGACACAGCCTTTTAGCCAGAGCCTTCAGCTGACTCAGGGCATGTCTCAACCAGGACTCTCACAACCTGGATTCAGCCTCTCGCAGGCTGGACTATCCCAGGCGGAATTGAGCCAAGATCCGTACATGACCGAGTACCAATCGCAGATGGATGGTCTGCTATCCCAGGATTCGACGTACCAAGGTGACCGGTCGGCGTTCTATCAGCCTGGAGCCCAATTCTCGCAACCTTATTGAAATTGAACGAATGGCGAACCAAAAACATACATGTACATCGCGGGAGCGATCTAACAGAATAAAATTTAGCAAGTGGCCGATTGTCAAATTGTCAGTACTCGCAGCACATAAAAACACAGGTCTAATGACACGTCGTATCGGAGAGAGAAATAATACCACCCCCAAGCAGCGATGGCGAACTTATGTGACGAGATGTTGAAAAAAAAAATATATTATATAACATAAATAATATAATAATAAGAGTTTTGTCTGCACGGGTCTTTGCTTATAACTAATTTCGTTTTAATATCTCAATCATCGATTCTTTTCGTCGAAAGATATGCTCTTCTACACGGAAAGTCCACCCCCAAAGAGTAGTAGACCCTCTCTACACATCCAAGCTGTGAATTCTACATTCATTATCAACGTATTATTTCTTTAATTCTCAAATCGCTTTTATTCGTTCTCTTTTTTATGATGATTTGTTATTATTTAAAAAAAACAACTATTTTTACCCTTACCATAAACACTGTTATACCTGGTTAATTAAGCGCATTGCCTTTAACACAGAAAACGGCAACGATCTATACGCAGATGCCAATGCGAAAATTCAGCAGCACGAAAATGTAATTTCATTCAGTTAACCATTTCATCGTTCTCTTGTTTCATTTTTTTTTGTTTTTCCTTTTTAAAGATGAAAACTTTTTGTACCTGGGGTATTTAGGAGCAATTTAATTTCTGGACGCTTTCTGCAACAGCAATAAAGTCATTTTTATTGTATGGGCTTTTTGTCAAATTCTTGAAACCTTTGTCTTTATTTTATTTATTTTTTCGAACTTTGCAAATAACAATCTTCTATAATATTAATGAAGGGACCTATGTTTCGTCCCGTTTATAATTCCATCATTATGCACTCGATGTAATAGAAAAGGGTTATTTTCTAACTGGTTAATGTTGTAATTTCTTTTTTTAAAGATTCTTAGTAAATGTCCAATTTAGATGTCACTAACATATTTGTAGTTCATTGTTCAGAAATTAATTCTAAATGAATACCAGATGGAAGTCAATAAAATTAATTGGGTTACAATATATTTATTTATTTTCACCTTTTCCGAATCATAAAAATTTAATAGAATCAACGTGAACTTATCAGCCCTATATATAAATAAATATTTATTATGTATCAGTAATAGGCAACCAATAAATCTTATTACAACTACACATTTTAATAAGGTAATTTGATTTGATTTTCTGATCTACAGACTCTAGTCAGTAATTAAAGAAATTTTATTTTAATTATGAACAATATACATTAATTTTGTATACATGTAATAATTAACATTCGTCGCCTTCCTTTCACATACAGGCAAATTCTTTATTTGATGAATCAGAATAATTCGACAACTTTTTCCACCTAATTTACTTTCTTCCTACGTCTTTTTGGATTCGAAACTAAAATAAATGTATTAAAAAAACGATGATTATTCATCATTAAAACTATCAACCTGCAGATTCTTCAGCCAAATCACTTGAATCTTTCAAATTAATTAGTTTGCTTTTGCCTTACTTTGAAACAGGTTTCTCCACATTTTCAACTAAATCAATCAGATCAGAATTATTTACCAATTCTGGTTCTAATCTTTCCACCTAAGTTACTTTCTTCCTGTATCTTTTTGGTTTTGAAATAAAATTATTCAATAAAAAATCAATGAATTTTAATTTTTAAAACCATCAACCTGTAGATTGTCCACCTAAATTAATTGATTCTTCTTTTGAATTTCTTTACTCATTTCTTCCTCTCTATGTAATAGATATTTATGTTTCTACAACTTCATCTAAAACAGCAAAAACTAATAAATATCAGTGTTTCTTCATCTGAAAAAATATCAACCTGCAGATTCGTCATATAAATTATTTGATTCTCTCAAGCACATAGATAAGCCTCTCTTTGCAACAGGTTTCTCCTCTTTTTTAACTTCATCTATTGTGTCGTTCGGGAAGAAATTTTGTGTTTAAACCAACTATTAAGCTTTGTAACGTTACCAAGTCATTTTATATAGTTATGAACCATGTTATATACGGTCGTGCACGATAAATCTAATAGCGTAGCAATTTTTCGTAATGTTACATTGGCGTTTTCTTCAAGCTAAACCTGTATTTTATCTTCATCAGCTTAAACGTGGTGCATCTTTAATATTGAAATTGTCAGAACGAAATTTTGCAAACCAGTTCTGGCACTGTCGTATTGCTAAAACATATATCTTTTTTCTAGCTTGAGCAGCATTCTTACCTTTTCGGCAATAATAAAGTAAAATATAAACAAGTACACAGAAACAACTCACAACAAGCCATCTCTTTGTATTACTTTTTACATAAATAAAGTTAAAGCTAAAAAAGCTACAACTAACAGCACTCGAGGGAATAAACGAAATTCCTTCCGAACAACCCAATAAAAACAGCGAAAGTGTATTAAATTACTATTTCATATTAATTAAGATAATTCCAATCACAGTCAAGAAAAATAATGCAATTAAAGATATTGTGGGCTTTAGTTGCATGTACTATATCTACAGTTAATATTAATGAAAATTTAACTTCTTTGTTTACCTGGAGGCTTTACTTTCATTACAGAACCAGTTTCCTCAAAGTTCTTAATCCATGTCTTAATAACATCAGAAGAAGGATCAGGATTATCCATCAACGATACAATTATTTTTGTGAAATGCCTTAACGGCGAAAGCACGTTGGGCTGCGGTCCACTCATCCATGATTATTAAATACAATATTAATAATTCATAACATAATTAGTTCAATTACTTCTACAGCAGTAGTACCAAGTAGTACCTGTAAAAATTGATTTTAAAAAACGTGCGTTCCTGTGCCGCATCCAGTATTATCGTTACATCTATGATCAGAAGTAAAGCAAATTGAGTTTACAACCTTAGAAGAATTACAAAGAGAAAAATGATCAAATACAGAAGGCAAAGCCTTGTGTGCAATAGTTGCTGCCTATTGCACACAAGGCTAGGTTCCTGAAAATGCTCTTCGCCTTTAACATAGACATAGAAGGTCCCCGGCCCTGACTACTGCAGTCTAAGAACTATGATGAAGGAATTGGAAGGAATATACAGGAATGGAAATTGCGATTGGCGGAATGCGTCGACAGGACGTAGCTAAATGTTGGTGGCTCTTCCTAGAGGGATGAAGCAGGAGGAAAAAAATGCAAAAGCTAGAGAAATACTTTGAATAATGTATTATTAGTATATAGGAAGTTATGCGCAAAAGATAATAAATGATTATTACTTAATTAACTTTCGTGAAGCAATAAAGTGAGAGAATTATTATGATTTTGGTGGTAGTTTGGTTGCCTAACTTTATCTTAATTCAAAAGCTTGCACAGCCAGCTCGTTCGTTGTTTCTTTTATTTTTAGGTTATGTGTATGTTTGTAACGTCATAGCCGTCATAGCTTTGTTGTCAAACAAGTGTTGTTTACATTTATTAAATCGATTCGAGTTGATTACCCTCTTCTAATTACAAATGGATCAAAAGCAATTACTGTTATACCAGTTATGAGTGATACAGACACCGACGACTTACTCCTGCTACCACCTGATTTGTATGTAAATGAACAGTTTGATGAGGTTTATGCCCCAGTTCCATACTACTCAGTGGTTGATGACCTAATAACAAAAATCCATAGACTTGAAGACAGAGTGGGTACAATGGAGTGCAATGAATTAGATAGTGCCCGTAGATACAACAGCACAGATGACTTGCTCAGGCAGAACAGTATTATCAACAGTGCATACAGTACACCACAGAAGCCAAGAACCAAGTATGGTTTACCAGAGTTATCATTATCTTCCCCAAGAAAAATGCCTGGTGATGTGAGAAAGTCCCCAAAATCTAAAATAAGATTTGAAAATGACCAGAGTTTGAATTTGAAGGAAGTAGACCAGATGTTGAGGCACATACAAGCTCAGAAGAGTGAGAATGAGTGCAGAATCAGGGAAAAGGAGGATGAGTATTACAGCAGGATGAATGCAAATAGGTGCAATGATTCTAATAGAAGGACCACCTCAAGTGCTTACAGCTCCCAAAATGATGATGAGGAATTTGAGTGCAAAGTTTTAAAATCAATTGACCCTAAAATTGAACAGAATTTTAAAAGATTGACTGTTAGCAAATTACCTAGTGATACATTAGGATCTGAAGGTACCAGTAGTGATAACACACAAATAACTGCAAAGTGGAATCAGAATTATATGATTCCCAAAGAGCAGCAGAAGTTACTTAGCTTGAAAGAGCTGTGGGGTGAAAATTCTGAGAATAAGTATCAGATGTTCCAAGAGAAATTAGAGGAAGAGAAGATCAAGAGGCAACATTGTGAACAGATTATACATGAGTTGCAATCAAGGGCTTTGGAGTTGCAAGAGAGATTAGCTGTTGCAGTACAAGTGGACCAAGCCAAAGATAAGGCCATCATCAAGTTCCATGAGGCTTGGGAACATATTGCTGAAAGGATGGAGAGTTTAAATAGAGAGAAAGACTCACTTGAAAGTGATCTGAAAGAACTTCAGTTGAAGAGCCTTCAAGATCTTGAGGAGTGTGGTAAAGTAAATTTTGAACCCAATTGTTATAAAAAATATTTAAATGATTAATATATTATCCTTTATTTAGAAAATAAACCACTATGAGAAAGAGGCTTCAAAAGCCTTACATTTGGCGCATGGAAATCAAGAAAAATTTGGTGACATACTGCAGCAGAATAAAGAATTTGTTGATCAAGTACAACAGCAAGAAGTAACAATTCAAGAATTGCAAAGCAAACATGAAGAGGAATGTTCTAAAAATAAGTTATTAGGTGAAATAATTACAAGGAAAGAACTAGAATTAAATGAGGTAAAAGTATTTTTTTTAAATTGAAATATTATTAATATTTTACCGTTAAAGGCTAATAAAGTGCTGACAGGCTCAAGGCAAGAAGTGGCGCACAGTAAGAAAGCTATAGAATTGTGCCAAATTGAGTTCACTAACATGAAGACCCAATACACGCAATTAGAGTTACTTTTGAATGACAAAGAGATGCAAATCAAAGATTTGGAAAATCAAAAGAGGAACTTTGCTAGTGATAATGAGAATTTGAAAATGTTAAAGGTATTATTAATTGAGTGTATTTTAACTTTGTGTGTATTATATGTATATTTTTAAAGATAAAGCATGAAAACGAATTGAGCAAATTGAAGGAATCTAATGAGAAATGTAAATTCGAGCTGCGGAATTTCTACCAGGAGCAGGTGGAAATTGTAGTTCGCGACAAGTTGAAAGAATTCCAAAGTCAATTGGATAAAGCCGAGAATTCTTTAGAAGATGAACTCAAGAAGCGTGAGTTGTCAATAGCTCAAACTGCTGCGTTGCACATCAAAGAATTATCTGAGAAGTATGTTTTAGTATCTTTTGTTGTTATTAGGAAATCAATTTATATTTTATTTTAGACATAATTTAGAGGTGAATTTGTTGAAGGAGAAGCATCAAGAGGAAATTAATTTATATCGCGTGAAGGTTGATCAATGTCAGCAGCATATTGAACAAATGAATTTGAAAGTGAAGCTACAAGATGAACGGAAAGCTAACATTGCGAAACAACTTCATCAAGTGATGGAAGCCCAATGGCGTGAAGCGTTGAAGATCATCAACAACTCTAAAACGCCGACGCAGGATAATACGGTTGATCAGCTTCACCTGTTGCAGAGCAGATCTCATAGCAATTTGGATGATGTACTTTCGGAGAAAGAGGATAATATTCAAGAGTTGCGGTGTGTCAACGTTAACGAATATCAGGATACTCCTGTGTCTAGTAAACTGTTCAGGAGTAAGAAGCAAATCGGAAATGATTTACAAAATTATGTAGAAATGGTTTGTTTATAAACTGAGTGCCAAGAGTTGTTAATTTTAAGATTGTTTTAGCTTCTCAATAAACAAAGTAATGGAGAAAGTTCTGGTGAGGATAAAGGTAATAGATACGAGAGCGACAGTAAATATCAGAGCAGAAGACATTCGAAACCTCCATGGAAATGACAATGACAGCGTTTTTATTCTGGAACAAATTGTGAATATCGTTTATCAGATGAAAACGTGTATCGGTAAAGGAAACAAAAATAAGTGATAATCGATTTGTAATATATATATATATTTTTTTACAAAAAAATAAATTTTGTTAATTTAATTTTTACGCTAGGGCAACTTCTTTATCTTTGGATAAATAATTGTAATTTATGAACCTCCCAAGTTGTATGAGCTGTGCAGCTTCATTTGCTACATGGCAGGAAAATAGCAATCTGTTCTTTGGTACAACTTTCAGCGCGAACCTCATGAAAATTGCTGAATAACAGCAAAGGGCTGAAAGACGACCATCAGAATGTTGAAATTGTTAAGAACGTTGCCTTACCGAATGTCATGGTACCGCTTATGTATTTTGGATCTTTCTGGATATCGGAAAATGCAGCAATCGGAATACCCCAATTTGCTACGGGTCCCCAAAAATGGGTACTAAAATAACATTTTTATATCAATAAATAAAAAAAATTATAACATTTCATACCTTGCTAAATAACTGCGGAATTCCTTGTTTTTTAATCCATCGATCGCCTGTTTAAATAAAGCCATCTTTCCCTTCGAATATCTCAAGAAAAACACTAAAAAATTTGTGCGCGCTAAATTATTATCAATTGAAGAGCATGTTGTGTAATTTATGATGATATCAGATTACACACTAAGTACACTTTTATAAACAAGAATGAGTTGCGTCTTATTTGATAACGCTCCGCTTTATTTTCATTCCTATAAATCCGTATTTTATGTAAATTAAAAACAGTTATGCGCAACGCGTCATTGAGAAACCAGTATTCATAATTTACATAACTCTGCATTTCACGTTTTTTTTTCAAATTTAACTCGCAGACGCTTATTTTATTAAGTATTTAAGATACTCAACTTAAAGTATTTCAGATGTAGTATTTACGTAGGCATGATTTTTGTTGTATTTATACCCCGACTTACGACTGCCCGCTTTTACGACATTAATTCTCGATTTGCGCACGTGTCGACAACCAATGAAATTTACCGATAAATGGGAATTGTTTTGTCTAATCGATTGACTTATGACCTTACAAATGATACAATTTAAGCTCATAACTAAATCGTTATTATTTAAAGATGCAAAAACTTTTCACGTTACTTTTGATTAATTATTTAATTTTAAGTAATTAAATAAATGAAGGTATTTAAATTTTTCAATAGGAATAACATATATTTTTTAGAATCTCTTGATTTCATAGAAGTTTCAGTTACAATACTTCATTCCTCTACTTCTATTATTGTGTTTTTACAGAAGACCAATTTGTTGGTATATTTGTTACTATTTATGAGAAAAATATTGATTTAAACATAGCTGAAACATGTAAATTCAATAGGTTGAATTATTTAGATACATAGAAATTGTGTAAATGATATCAAAAAAAGTAATTCAAAGAAAAATGAAACAGACATTTGTTTATTGAAGTAACTGCAAATGTCACGTTAGTATTTTGGTAAATGCGAAACTTCAAAATCTTCATCGTTTCATACATAATAGTATTCTTCATTTTGACAATCCTCCTGATCATCGGTCTTCTATACTTGATGCACCGTCTAAGCGAAAACCAATGACGAAGTGATAAAACTCCGGAGTGCTGAAAAACTGTTACAAACTAAACCGATCGCAGCAGCTCGTGGCAACAAACAAAAGGCCGACGTGCAAAATAATAAAGTCATTTAAAATTGTTGAAGTGATTGGTGATCTTTGGAGAAATTTGAGACCGATAGAACTTGGGGACAAGTAAAATTGACGGATTGGAAGCCGGAAAGGAAAAATCATTGCGAACGAACGAGAATAATATGGTCGTATATTGTGAGTACATTTTCAAAATAACTCTTTCAAAAAAATAATAATATTACAATCGGTTTCATACAATGCGCGCATTGACGTTCGAAAAGTCAATTGAAAATAATATATAAAATTATATTTGTAACAACATGGACGGAAAATTAATAATTAAGACAATACCATTAAGAGAAGCTTTCCTCTCTAGACACTTAATACAGAAGCGCGCTGCGCCACATCCGAAAAGGCACTTTGCTTAATTTTTTTAACAAAACTTGACAAAAATACAATTTAATCTTATAAACTAACATTAAAACATATACTTTTGGTATTTAAAAAAATCAATTTAAAAAATATGTACACTCAGGTGTAAATATATTTTGATAGATATATTCTAATTACATATTAGATAATATATTAAGACGGTACTCACTATGCGATACTTGTTACGTATAAGTTTAAATTTTAGGGGAAGTACAAGCTATTGCAAATTAAGAATATTACACATCCAATACATGGCAAGTATTTCATAGCGAGTACCCAGTTTTATGTTGCTTGGCTTGAGTACACGAGATTTCAAATGCAGATTTTTGTGTTCGCAAATACAAATTGCTACTCAATTGAGTTACTACATTTATTTGAAGCCAAGTTTTGTGCAAGTATATTTTATCTACGGATTTTTAAACTATATAAAAAAATAATAATAAAACAAATCAGTACTTCAAATTGAGTTGTGTTACACACATTTAACATTATTCGGGAGTAATTTAACTCTTAAACTATTAAAAAAAAATATATTATGTGCCCAACTGGGCCTAACGCGTTTTTGGACGGATCTTAATATTAACATATACATGATTCGAATATAAAAATGATTCGTTTTAAAAAAAAATTGTACGACGTTTATCACTTAATAAGTTTGATTATCGTGCTGGTAATTCGCCGATTCTATCACCTGTTGAATGCGAATGCTGCGGCTAGAGCAAGGATCATGGTGATGATACTTGCTTGGATTCCAGCGGCTCCTGCCAATCGGCACTTGAACATGTTGAAGCGGGTCAAGTTGTTGTCAATCATATTGCTGAATTCGGCCTCGACAAGTTGGCCATCGTAGTAAGTAATCAGATCTTCGAATGGGTATTCGAATCCTTGTTTACATTCGCATTTGTATCCTCCCGACTCGAATCCTCTTCCCAAGATTGGAACGCACTGAAAAATAACAAAGCCGTTGAAAGATCTGTCTTATATTTCTTCTACTTGTTTCAACTTACATATGAAGATTTCTCGTCGCATTTGTGGGTTCCTTTGAAAGCGTTCGGAACGTAATATTGATCTGGACATTGGTTGATATCCAATTTGAGTAAATCCACAGTCACAGCCACCACTCCCCTAAAAGTTTGTTATTAATTATAAATCATAATTCAGGAATTATCAAATTTTGTTTTTTTAGATGAAAAAACTGGTTTAAAGAGAACTTACTTGAATTCCAATTTGACTTTCAAACTGTCCCAACCGAAGAACGGCACGGCGTATTTGATCTTCCACATGGGTACTTTGCCGTAGCAATCGAAGTAAGGAGATGTCCAATGTCCTTGATCTAATTTCGCTGCGTGGTAGAAATTTGGGTAATGTTCGAATTTCCTGGTGTTCTCTCCAGTTTCGTTGAACCTGATCTTGATCTTCGTGTAGAACTTTTCGAGGCTGTCGAAGTTCGTTGACCAGCGTTGCTTTAAGAAGCGGTACCAATCCTTGTTGGTGTAAATATCTTCGGTTTTGTTAAGCCTTGCCAAATCTTCCAATTTAAATTTACGGGTATTCAATTGGGTTTTGTATGCATAAGGAGCAAAGTGAGTGCGATTCGTGAACTTGTTGCGTTCCCAGTAAGTACCGGCCGACCAAATACGACTGTTTCCTAAGACCAAAGCCAAGGTTTCTCCCATCATCTGATCTTCAGTTAAAGCTTTGTCGGCCTGCCGTTTACCTGAGTATACCTCTTTAGGATCTGATATCTAAAGATTAATCGTTAAATTAATTGTTCCTGTAATATGGCAATTTTACTTCTTACCTGTAAAAATGCGCTGATGAAATTAGCTAAGCGGACGGCCATTTTTGCTTCATTTTCAAAATACTCCTCAGCTCCATAATTGATATCACCATGAAGCTTAAGATGCTGTGGCTTGTATTTTCTGCAGTTATCCTTATTAACACCCAAGATGAAATCCAGTGATTTGTGTATATTGATCCTCTTGGAATTCAAGGCCTCAGGACCAGAGGTGAAATTCATATACTCAGAGTACTTATTCAAATAATGTTCTCTGACTAAAGGCTGAGCCTTGTTCCACTCCACTGGCATCTTTTGTACCCCTGTATTTTAAAAATTTGCTATATAATATCCAGTTTTTTGATATGATTTATGTACTACTTACATCCAATCTTTTTGCAATCAAACCCATTGAAATATTGCTCTTCTGTGGCTCTTTCAACAATCTCCCCCAGGAAAGGTTTCCAAACATAGTATGGTAATCTCCACCCTGGTTTACATCTACACTGATAACCACCTCTTCTAAGGCCCCAACCATGTATAGGTTCACACTGCAACAAAATTACAATAGTAATACAATAAAATCATGTAAGTTAATCACACTAACCTCTGTAGTCTCTGATTTACATCTTGCAGTATTTGCAAATCTATTTGGTCCACTATTACCTAAACCTGGAGGACACTGATTTATATCTATTCTTTCTAAATCCATTTCAACTACAGACACTGCTGTATATCTGGGATATTCAATGTGCCTGAAACCAGTGTGTCTTGGATAGATATCAGCTATGGGAACTACAGCAGCAACAAGCCATCTATTTGATCTTCCACAGTCAAAATATGGTTTGGTGAATTTCACAGGACCAGGGTTTTCATCAGCACCAGGTGGTCCATGGAATGTAAATGTTTCATTTGTATTATTTGCATATCGGATTTCCACTTGATAGGTTGTCTTTGTGTCGTGTCTGCCCACAACATTATCTGGCAGCCACTGCTTATACCAGTCATTTATCCTATAGTAATCTGATGTGTAGTCATTGCTTGTATCAGGCTTCACAGCTCCCAAATCTTGCACAGTAAATGTATTCAAAGTAGAAATTCTCTCCAAATGAATGGGGTCATTGAAGTCATCAGCCCTAAATGTTCTAGGAGCAAATCTAGGAAAGGTTTTATTGAAGAAACCCAGATAAGAAGAAGAATAAGACATGTTTGGAGCAAAGTAAATGGCTGATGCATTGATGTATGGGTTGGCAGAGACATCAGCCACAGTAGAGAGAATGTAGTACATCATGCCTGGATCATATGTATCATTGATAGCAGGCCGGATGAATCTGCTCTGCAGAATGTAACTCCAAAAGAATGATCTGCTCAAAGCCATGTTATGCAAATGAAGTAGAGCTGTTCTGTTTGGAAATACTGGATTTATGTTGACATCTTTGATATCTGGTATATGAGAAACAGTATCCTCTGGCAGGTACAGATCACTAAGATGTTGCAAAGGGCAATTATCCATGTTTACTTTCTCCATTTTATGACGAATTTCATCGAAAGCATCCCTGACTTGCCACTCGAATTGAGCGAAAACGCCCATCACAAGAATGCAAACACTGGCTATACACACTTTCCACAACATTTTGTTCACTTGTTCTTGTAACTGTTGCAAACAAGAATGAAAGGGTTTTGAGACCCTACTTATCTATGCCACGTTAAAACCCCATCAAACAATAAACACTGGACAATGCGGGAGTGCCCTATCCACCTCCGCCCAAAATAAGGATTACCACCTGTGTGGGAGAGTCAACAAGTGTTGAACATGACTTCATCATTAAGAAATTTCTGTTGTGCACACAACCAACCATACACTTCAACATTTAAAATGTAAAGAAAACAGCAACAAATTAAATAAATTTCTTTATATTTCAAACGTAATAATTTATACATTAAACATAACTACAGCTTAATTCAGTAAAAACTTTGTATAATTAGTTTCAATACTTTAACTTCAAAGTAGAGACTACCCAATTAACAAAGACTCTCTCATATTGCATACTGGTTTCATAGCTTATGTACTTCTTCAGGATGATTCATGACTACTAAAAGCATCTATTTAAATATTAGTCATACTACATAATTAAGAGTATATCAATGTTAGACATTTTGTTATATCAGTTTTATAATTCTATTTACAGTTTTAATTATTTACATGAGGATTAAGATAGGAGCATTTAATAAAATCATTTGATTAGATTAACTACTTAATGTTAACAACAATTTATTAAAATCATGATTCATATAAACTAATGTAATCCCGTTTTTAATATTCCTTTGTTTAGTTTATAAATTAAGCTTACTTATTAGTAGCTGAATTTGGTGTGAGCGTTGTTAATACAGAGAAACGTTTCGTTGTAATTATAGATTCGAATAACATAAAATAAATAAATGTGGAAGTACATGTGTTGAATGTGACGAGTCTTTTGTGAACACGAATGTGGGATGTACAAAACTACGCAGCTATTTATAAATGGGTGTAAAGTTACTCATTCAGTTGGGAAACTTGTATAAAGTACTTTAAGTTTCATCCTTTGCTACAAAACGTTTGTTCTTAATATACTCATTGATAGTTTGAATTGATATTGAAATTCTTAACATACTATAAATGAAATCAGATATACCTACAAATGAAGGACGCCGGAGATCAGATAGATGATGCTAAGTAATAATACATTTCTTGGTATTTATGTAACTGTTAGCGCGCATTTGTCACCTTGATCAAATTGTTTATTTCACATTATATAATAACGTTTATAAGTTTGAAGCGCAACTTTTATTCATCGATTTTAGTAAGATTTAAAGATGTAATAAAAAAATATATTTTGTTAATGTATATTAAAATTATAAAATAAATTCTTAATAATTGACTCAAAAAAGGTTACAATCTTATTATTTATATATACTAACGATTTCCTTTTACTTAATTACTTTTAAATTAGTATTAATCAAAGATTTAATGAGTCAATAAATACTTTTTGTTGACTTAATAACAAGAAATATATAGATTTAAGATCAAGCGTTCTCGTAGTTGGTTTTCCCCGAGATGTGTGATTAGTAGAAAGTTGACTACGGGTTTAATGGTAGTGTAGAACGTTAGAATGGAAACTGAAAGCAATCTCCTCCGATGAACAGGAGCGTTTTTCCCAGAAAGAAGTGTATATATTTGCATGATAGCGTAACCGTAGTTTTGTCCAGTTTTTCAATTCTTAATCCGGAATGGAAAAATAATGCACGAATAAATAAAAGCGAGAATGCGTGCGTGTGTATAGGTATGTACATGCCCTTAGGGAATGATTGTACTCCCTGAAACTGGCTATTTAAATTGTGGATAGGGTGAAAACCAGTCTCACGAACGGACCACCGACCGGAGGATGATATCAATCATATCTTATTCACATGTCCCGCTTTTCAAAATCGTTAAAAAGATGCGTAGAAAAATAAACGCAATTCAATTCGGAGACCTTTGATTGTAGGAGACTTGACTGGATGTGACAAATAATGAAAACAATATATAAACAAATTAATAAAGATAATTAAAGATACATTTTATTAATTAAATTTGGAGACCTTAGGTTGTAGTAATAACTTTTTTGATAAAATGAATGAAAGAATGAACTACTTAATATTATTATATTCAAATTAATTGGAATAATCTTCTCTTATAGTAAAGTTTTGGAAAATTACAATTAATCTTATGTGTTAAAATATTACACATTTTATTTTGTTGTATTTGTTTTAGGTTTTTCTTTAATATATCTGGTTAACTATTAGAAATAAATGCATTTTCTAATCATAATGACCAATAAATATATTAATGAACGTCTTATAATTTCTCTACCAAAAATCAAGTATAAACATTATAAAATATTATGCATTTAAATACAAATAAAATTTAAAAATTGCAACAAAATGTAATATATTCCCTATTAAGAATTTATTTATATTAATATTTGATAATTTAAAGCTAATATAATTTCATTTATCGAAAAGTTAAATTTTAAATGTAGAATAATTTAAATATAAAGAAAAGTAATTAAATTCAGAGATCTGAGAACTTCTTAGATATATAAAACATGTAATAAATTCGATTATTGGAATTGTTTTGAATCATTTTGTAGACTAAAAATGTGTGTCATATTTGCAAAAAAAAAGAATAGTGCTTTTTAAATGGAATGCAATTTACTATTGGGAATTTGCATATGCAAATGAACGAAAGTGTTTTATTGATTTCGTCTAACTACGCATCGGCCAATAAATTGCTTAATGTCGTTTCATACATATCAGGTGGTTTCAATATAAAGACCACCTGTTGCATCGGAGTTAAACATTTTCTATACCATGTGATTCCCAGAAATCGAACAAAATTGCGTGTCATTTTGTTTCCGTTGCTTTCTACAAAATATCCACTATATTTAATTTACAGTTTTTTTTGCTGCTCTTATTGATTGGAAGAAAATGTCGTTTGAATTTGAATCGCAACGACTCTTTATTTCTTAATGCCGAGACGAGGTTTTATGGTGTATACACCCAGTATATTGTAAGCACATGTGGTAAAAGTGGTACAACTGAATATGCAGCTTACATGTAATTTAAGTATTGAGACTTTCTCAAGTACATGGGAAAAGAAATGATTCTTGTATACATATTTATATGCGGCGAGGAATGATTGCATTGAATTACTCGTTTGTGTTTCTTCTTTTTCTTCACATTTGCTGCAGTGTGCTGCATTGTCGCATTGCAATACTGCATCCAAGTGAACAGAATTCTCTGTTTCGTTGTAGATCTATTGTATTTTTAGAATAATAACTAGTATTTGGAGATTATCTTACAAATCTATTGTCAATAATTCTATTCAAACTGAAACATTTATATCTTTTTGAGGATTTTTTTATTCTTTAAAATAATTATTAAACATGAATTTTCTTTAGTACACTATTATAAATGTATTCATGTTATACTAGACTGGTTTGTTTCAATCGATTTGGTCTTCACTTCTGTCTTTATTTTTTTTTTGTAATTTGTGGTTCTTATATATTTGTACCCTTTATTGTTTCCTTTTCACGATTTTTTCTATTTTTTGATTAATTTATTAACAGCAGTCTTTTTTCATTTTATCCTATACGAAATACGTTTTCAAATGTATGAAATAATAATGATAGTTTTGAAAGTTGTTGCATACAAATTATAAATAAAACTTTCCCGTTTCAAAATAAGATTTAATATTGATACTTTCTAAGGATGCAATTTGAGATATAATTAAAACTTTTCTGGAACATAAATGTATCTAAACAAAACAAAATGCATGTTTTATTTTTAATAGTAATATTTAGTAAATTATTCACTTTTATTATTATAAATATAATTTGTAGACAAGAAAAGGTAAAAGGCTGTAGACATTTTTAAAAATTTATTTTAATATTTTCTATGTTTATGATAAAATTTATTAAATAATTTAGAAATTTTAATCTTAATGAGTCAGTACTTAGTATTGAATGTGTCTTTAATTTTCAACGAAAGTAATCTTTAGAGATGGAGAATAATGTATATGTAAATAAGTTTCGAAAGGATGTTGGAGTTTTCAGTGGCTCGACTACGCTCAGAAATCCGATTTATTTAAGTTTTGTGTCCTTGATACCAACGAATGCTTGCAAATTTAGCAGCGACACCGGCGAACACTTCGAACGACGCGCGATTGTTTTTGACTGAGCGACAGAAACAACACGAAAAAAAAACGTATTTCGAGGTGCATTGGCATAGGACAGGATCGTCGAACGAAAATAGACGACTATATAGAATATACCGTGAGCCAGCAAATTTTCGTTACGTTTCAATAAGTTTATACTCGTATTCCAAATCCTGTTATATCCTGAAACTCGTGTTGCTAAGAAATGAAATTTACAAGTGACAACAAATAATTATTTTATTTAATACCTTAATTAAAATATTGACAATTTATTAAATTTACTACAAAATAAATAAAAACCTTTATAAAAATAACATATTTAAGTATCTAATTAAACAAAATGTTTATATGTATTCAATTAGTAATAGTATTTTATAGACAAACTCTCTATAATGGTCGTAATTGAAAGATCAAGATTTTATTGGTCACCTTTTCAGTTTCCCACACGTTGGTGGATAATTTCAAAGATGCTATAATATCATTTTCTATACAATTATTTCCTCCTCTTTCAAATTATGATTTTGTAACTAGTTTAGTTATTTAGTTATAATTTCCCATTCCTTATAGTCATCATTAATTATAAATTACTTCGTAAATTGTATTTTAAAATTGTAATTAAAAATAATTTTAAGAAATTCGTGTTCGCTTATAAATTATTTAAAATATTTTTTTTTTGTTAATGTGAGTAGATTTGATATTTTTTTATTGAGAAATTGAAATAAAATTCTGAAAATGAATATATCAATTCTATTTTATTGTTTTTGGTACTAAAAACATGAAAAGGAACTTGAATTGTAACTGCTATAACATTAATTTGCTCTGGATTATAAATGGAGTCGAGTAACGGGAAAAGGAAATTGCCTGACGTTTAAAATAGTTTATGCTATAATAAAAGTTTCAAATAGATTTACTACACCTAGTTGGAAATATGGTTTTCGAATTTTAAATTACCCGGATTTGTATCATTCTGTAACTACAATTAATCGATTCTTTGGACAAAGACATTTAGATCGATCACAATACAAAGAAGCTATCAATCTCATATTTGTATTTATAGATTTTTATTTTTAAAAAGCTGTCTTTTGTAATTACATTTTTTTGTAATTAAAATTGATTATATTTTGCATGATAGTTCATTATTATACTATCTAGAGAAGACTTTTAAGGTCAAAACTTTGTTGATTACTTTCTGTAATGCAATATAAAATATGTTCACGTTGTAAATTTTAAATATATAAATGCATAAAATTATATTATTCAAATAAAAAAAAAACAAAATTTGTCTTATCCTAATTAACTTAATATCTAAATTATCATAAATTTACTTAATTGATTTGTTTATTTATTATTATTACTTCTTGGAATTGTCTTATCAATCTAGCTTTTAGCTTTAGATTTAATTAATTTATTTTTCAATTTAAACTTGTAAATAGAACATATTATTTAAAAATGTAGAAAAATACATTCATGTTTATATCAATCTATATTTTAAATTCTTAAAGAATATATTCGATTTACAATAATTTATCTTTAACAGAAACTCATAAGTAATATACGTGATGTTTTACTAAAAATATAAAAAATAACATTAATTTTCCTCCAAATCTAAGGATTATCTTTCGTAAATTATAGTAAAAATAAAACCAAACAAAAATTATTTATTTTTATCTTTCTTAAAATATTACATTCCATATAAATAATTGTAATTTTAATCTGAAAAATTAAATTCTCTGTAAGATTCATTAGGCGAAATATAACCACTGTAAGTTATACAACTAGTATCTGAATCAGAAAGTGGCTGTTCTCCTTGTATCTCATAAGAAGAAGCTAAACTATCACCAGAAGCAGCGAAAATATTATCATCAGAAGCAGCAAAACTATCATCATCATCATTATCGCTATCGGATCTACACAATTTTCCACTACGTTTATTATCCGTATTAGAGGTTGAATCATCATCATCATTTGTATCAGAGTGACATGAATCATCATCTGTTTCAGAATGTTCTTCTTCAACTTTTATTTCAACATCTCTTTTTTGAACTTTACATTTAGTCATTATATAGTCCTCCTCATCCGTGTCTGATGACTCATTGTTGATGATTGTATTACATATATCATCATCTACTTCAGAAAGCTTCGGCTCATCTTTTATTTCAGCTGAATATGTCCCATCAGTATCAGTTTTGATGCGCTGGTCTTCTACATCAGTAGTCGAAAATCTTCTTTTCTTTTGCCCTCTACGTTTGTTCAATATATTCTTCTTGTTGTCTTTGTCTAAGGATTCATGTATATCATCTTTTTTTTTCGAAAGTTGCTGCTCTTCGTCTATGTTCTTTTTTTCTTCTAAACTTGACATTTTTGGAATAAACACTTTCGAACTTTTATAATGTGATATTCTCGTCAGGAGTTATAAGATTGTACTGAATCCCCCAATCATATCAGTCAGCTGATATAATATATTTATCGTTTGTCATGCATTGTATTTTACAATAAATTAAAAAAACATAAATACTTCGAAATAGTAAATTATAAAAATATTGAAAAAAAAAACATTGTATGCATATTTTAGGAAAGATTATCAGAAATGGATAATAATAATAATAATACAGATTCTTTATTTGCTAGTATAGTCAAGGAGATAAATTCGTTTTGTTGGATCGTGAGATTTACAAGAATTAATAAATATTTCTTGTAACCTAGATAAGCGTTGCTCGGTTTGAATGTAATGCAGTTAGTAGTGTGTTTGTCGTAAAGCAGATTTACGTGTGAAAATCTATTCCTGTAGTCTCGAGGGGAGTGCTTTAAAAGAATTTTTGCAAATGCATGTACATATATATGTAGATGTGTGAATTTTAAATAGTCGATGAACTTCTATTATAATAACTGACCGAACGTATGCACATATACCCGACTGGCTGGGGCAATGAACGCACCGTCATTTTCTTCTTTGCAGGAGAGAAACCCATACATCCATACCCTATGCATATACATACACGTGTCTGTGACTGTGTGTGTGCGCGTATGTATATAGTTATATACGTGCAGATCTTGGGTATATACATGTATGCAGTACACAATATATTCCTTTCATATAATATCCCAAGACGTCTTGCACAGCCCGGGCAAATTGAAACTCATCATCGCGTCGGATTACATACATGCATATTACGCACGCTCGCACGCACATACGTGCATACACTCATACATACGTACACACGAATACATACATACATACACACACATAATACGCTAGAGGGAGAAGAGTTGGAGAGGCAAAGAACAGGTCGAAGAACAGGCCTCCTCCGGTTCGCATGGTCCCCATTTGGCCGTTACAAAACCTCCTTACAAGAAAAAATGCACTCTCCTCCTCGTAACGCTTGCCTTTTGTTCTGGCACACCTCGTCATTACATTTGGCAAGTGCTACTAGCCGAAGGGGAGATTTTGCGAAAAGAAAGCAGCTGTATGTATGTGCGTATGTAGTCTATAAGCGAGTCATGGCTATGCCTTCGGTTTTTGCGACGTTTCCACTTAAAACACCAACAAAATAACGTTCGTTTACACAAGACTGCAACCTGTCCCGGACGCGTTCGCAACGTCAGTATCATTGTGATCTTGGTAACCGAGTTACCTAGTTTCAATATGTACATGATCTTCAGTATTTAGGATCAATTGAATTACCAGATTTCTTCAATAAACTGAACCAAAGATCATATTAGTTCTATACTAATACAAGTATTATTATGATCTTGTTAAAACCAACTTATCTATATAATATTTCTTTTTTATTTCAAATTAATAAATGTAGACAGTTTTAATGTATAAACGTACTTCAGTATTAGAGTTCATTGAATTACTTAATTTCCTGATTATAGAAAACCCAATTTAATTTATTAATCAGAAAAATAACAATTTAATAGATTGCATAACTTTGCCAATTATCATTGGGTTTTTAAAGATCAATTGAATCAATTGATTTCTTTATTATAGAATTAAATCGATGTTCAAATTAGTAAAAAATAAATTTCACATTAGTTATACTTGATACTAAAATGTAGCCACTTTTAATGTATAAGTGCACTTTAGTATATAAGGTTCCTCGAATTCAGTTTGTTAATCAGAAAAAATATATAAATATATAAGATTAAATGTATAAACACACTTCAATATTAATAAATCCATTGAATTACCTAATTTCCTCATTACAGAAAACCCAATCAATGACAATTATCATTGCGTTCTTGGAAATCGAGTTAAATAATTTAAATGTGTAAAAAATCTTTAGTATTTTAGGATCAATTGAATTTGCCAAATTTCTTTATATACAATAGAATCGAAATGGTACAATAATACTATTGAATTTTATATAATCTATTCTATTTTTTATTTAAATTATTATACATATGTTGTATAGCCTTCCTAATTTTCATAACTGATTTTTCTACATTCACTGTGTAAACAAACTCTCTTCAGTATTTACAATCAATTGAAATAGTTAATTTCTTAATTATGAAAACGTAATTCAAAGTAATAGTATTCTAAATATCTTATAATCTAAGCCAGTTACCATTTAGGATTAAATAATTGTGCAACTAATTTCGGCTTTGAACATAGATATGTTTATTTAGATTATACAATATTTATCATTATATTTCCAGTACATTTATAATGCCTGTATATTATATAATATAGAACTTAATATCCTTGTTGATTTTCAGTCTTTGTCTTTGATTCCTATTAAATTCTCATGCAATCCTAATTTGGACCAAAAGTCTACTGGCCGAAGTCTTTCTTCCTTATTATTTTTCTAATCCCTTGGATGTAAATTATTACAGATGTAAACTAAATTTGAACTAAAAATAAATTGGAAGGATATTTCAAATATATATTATATTGTCCGATAGTTTCATATTCTTAGGTATTATGAGCTCATCTACATACACATCATCAAGTGTTTTGAGCATTACTTATGTTTTTCAATATCGCGATGATACGTGAGGTCTAACAAAAGTTTGCTTAGTTGGCTTTTTATTTTCGGAAACAGCCAGAAATCACATGGCGCTAGGTCCGGAGAGTAAGGAAAACTTGTGGTATACCACACTGGCCAGTTTCCAGTGGGATAGCCGCTACCACTTTTACGCTGGTAAATTAAATTGATACCATCACTTTTGTTGCTGATTTTTATGTTCTTGATTTAACTGGGAGATTTGCACCTTCTGCGCTCCATGCCATGGACTGCTGTTTTGTTTCCGGATCGTACTTATAGTACCAAGATTCATCACCTATTACTATTTTCCTAAAGGTGCTAGACTCTATTTTCAAATTTTTCTAAGAAATATTGGGCAAAATGAACACGTGCCTTTTTTTTGGTCATCATTTAAAATTCGTGGAACCCATCGTGCGGATTTCTTCGTGTAGCCCAAGTGATGACTTAATATTCTCAACACAGCCATGGCATTGAAGCCCAGTTCATCACCTACCATTTCCTGTGTCATTCTTGGATTTTTGTCAATTTTTGCCTTCACCAGGGCTACATTTGTGTCGTCAGTGAAAGATTTCGGGTGACAGAAAAATGCCCGGTTTGGAATATTCGAAACCACTTGGAAATAGTCATAAGAGATGATGCATTCACTCCATATGCATTTTGGCATTCCTGGAAAATTGGCATAGGCTTGAGTTGACCTCGAAATCCGTAAAGAATGGCAAAACAATTTTTTGCAGTGTTGGTAGTGGAATTTCTACCAACATTATATAACTAATCTTGCATTTTCAACTACCCATTCTTGAAATTTGACATGAAATATCGTTAGACTTTAACAAATTGAGAAACAACTTTTGTTTTTTTTTCAGAAACATATGTATTTACGCCAAGTATGCGAACTTTTGTTAGACCCCACTTAAACATATGATTATATATGAATTTAATTGAGACATTTTCCTTTTTAGCTAAATATTTATATTTCGTTTAAAAATGTTTCAAAAAAATTATTCGCAGCAAAAATTGCATTGTTATAATTACTTGTTGATTTTTACTCAACGTTGCAAAATGTTCATATATTTTCTCAGGTCATTTTAATAGTTTGCGTGTTTCATTATAGTAACACGTATTTAACATTTAGTTACCGCTTATTTAAATAAAGACGTTTAAAAATCATCTTTGAAGATGTTCTTACAAAGTTTCTTTTTAAGAAAGAGTACATTCCACCTACACTTGGCTATCTGTGCTAAATGTTTTAGAAAGTGTTATCTATAAACAAACAAGCAAATAAAGCTGAGTTAAATGTGTTAATGACGATATTTTTAAAATTTGTTAGTTTTGAATCGAAATATTTTCTATACTTCTCATATTTTTCTTAGTATATTAATTATTATTTATTAATATTATTAATAATACAAATAAATTTTAGAAAAATTAAACTAATGTATTTTAAGTTATAATATATTTAAAATTTCCTATTCATAAATATAGTTTATTTTTGGTTACACAATAAATCACAGTAGTAGTGTTTTGAAATTATTTATTTCTAAAAAAATAGTCGAGACTTGTTATTGTATTTCTGTTAAAAAAAAGAAACATTTTAGACAAATGTTTGCGTGAGATGTTAATATTGTTATAGAATAATATGGCGTGAACCGTGTGCATTCGGTGTCTTTGGTCATTTACTTGAAGCTGGTAATAAAAACTTGGGTAACCGGTTGGCGAGTAGAGGGGTTTCCATAATGCATGTTAGATTTTTATGTCTGCTAAATCTCAAAACTGGACATTTAAAAAGCCTCTGCATTTTAAAATAACCTCCAATTTCTCACACACAAAGTAAATACAAAAGGTTCTTTCATTACCTTATTTTGAATAGTTATTAGCTAATTATATATTGATTTGTTGTTGTTATAGAATGATTTGTTTAAAAATTATTGAGAATTTTTGCTTCAAAGATTCATATTACGGTTTTTGTTTCATACTCAGAAGATACATTTTAAAATTAAATGAGAATTAATTATTTGCTATGTATTATAGGAAAATATAGACAGGTTACTATAAAATTAATATCCAAATAATGACCATTAAACGCTACCTATTCTTCCTGCGTAATGCCAATTTAATATGGCTATTATCCGGATACAAGCCACAGGTAGCAATGGGCCCCAATTACGTAATAGGCCGAAAGGGAGAAAAAGAGGTAATAGTCAAACCCTAAGCCTTTGATGGTTATATCTCTCATATATTTTTTGTTAACCTGATCAGAAGGGTGGCAAGCGAAATCGCTGTACGCCCACCTGTTGAATGGTTTCGGTGGTTGTCCGAAGGGCATGCTCCTCTCGGCCGTATCCCGAATATCCGTCCAACCCTTCCTCCAACC